ATATATATATATATATTAGAAAGAGATGTATGGCGTTTCGAGGTGTGATCGACCAGTATAGAGCAGGTGTCAGTGTTCGGAGAACGAACGCGGATTACACAGAGGAAGGCCACCACCTGGCCTAGACCTGCTTGATGAACAAGGAGGGTGCACGAAGAGCAAGGCATGGCTACGTGAGCTTAGCACACCTTGTCCCCCGCGCGCGTAGAGCAACGCCACCAAACCTGCCAAACGGCTTTCGAACTGGACCGCGTTGTCGTCGCCGCGTGCGTGCGTGCGTGCGTGCGTGCGTGCGTGCGTGCGTGCGTGTGGGCGCCGCAGGTAACATATTGTTGCTCCCTTGTTGCCGCGTTGAATTCACTGTGCTGCGCACACGTAGACAGACACACAGATACGGACACACACAGCGCGCACAAGAGATCGCGTGGTGTGTCCAGGAATGCGCACGAGCCGGAACGAAGAATGGCCAACAACTGACTCGCAATTTGCGTGCGTTTGTGTGACGCGGAGGGCGGTCCTACGGGCACATGGTTAGTCCTTAATGATCATTACCACGCCAGTGATCAGCGAGAGAGCAGGGACGGAGCGCGTGCGATCAAGACCGGAATATCACGTACGCACCTGCGTATAGATACATACGTAGATAGATAGATACATGCGCCAAGGAAAACACGTCGCGCTTCGTGTGTTCGTCACCGAACGTTGTTAGAATCATCGTTGCCCGGAGAAACAGCGCACGCGCGCTCTCTCCTTCTACCAGCATGTCTGAGTGGATCCACTGAGTTCATCGGTGAACTGCCAGTATTATACGTAGGATTGACGCGTGTGCATGCATCCCTCTGCTTCGGAATCATATAGTGGCGTAAAGCAACGCGTGCGTGCGTGCGTGCTTATGTGCGTGCGTGTGTGGTGCGTGCGTGCGTGCGTGGTGTGAGGCCTTCACAGGTGTTGCTGGCCTGTGTCGACAGCTACGTGTGATGGGCGGTTGTAGCCGCTAGTGTGTGTCTACACCGAGTGACCTGCAGTTATAGCTGTGCCATGGACGCGGTATAATACAGAGGCTATATACATAGGTGTGCCTATGTGCGTGCGTATGAGTATGTGTACCTGCCCTGAGAAGGGAGAGGCATAGCCGAGTTGAGCTACACGTTGAGTTGTCTAGATACATCTCCACGCTGTGAGTACTAGGCGAGTTGCTGTTGCTGTACAAGTGCACAGAGAGGATTGGTTCAAGGATCAAGGATTTTGGAGAGGATTTATCTCTGCCCTCTCTCGCTTCCTCCCTCATCGGTCTCTTCCCCCTCCCTACCCCCTCTCTTTCCATTCTCTATATCTGTCTGCTTCTTCTTGTCTCTCTCCACCTCCCTCTCTCTCTGCTTTTCACCTCTCGTTTCTCCTGTCCACTTTCCATTTTTCTTTTACCCTCTCTTTCTTTCGCTCTCCTCCCCTGCACACTCTTTACCTTTGTTTTTTTCCTCTCCCCCTCTCTGTATCTACCCTTCTCTTTCTCTCCCCCGCTCCCTCTCTCCCCATCTCTCTCTATCTTGCTCTCTCTCTCTCTTCCCCCTTCTTTTCCTCCCTCTCTCTCCCTCACTCTCTCTGCACCGTCTCTTTTCCTACCCTTCCCTTCTCTGTCAGCGATGGTTGGCGCACACTGCAACTCTCACTCATGATGCGTCACCGACCCACCTCCACCCGCAGGAGGCCGGGCGAGAACGGACACGGAGGAGGAGGTCACGGAGCAAGAAGCCATACGCTCGGCAGGGGCGGCGGGTGGCGGGAGGATGAGTCCGGGGAGGATGAGGAGAAGGAAGAGGAGTGTGGGTTCCATCCGCACACGCTGTGGGTGTTGACGGCGTTGACACTAGCGCTACGGCTCAATGTTGTCCGGCAGAAGCAGAACTGGTGGATCCTTCACCCGGACGAGGTGTTCCAGTCTGTAGAAGGTAAGGCGTACACGGGGCGTCTCTCTCTCTCTCTCTCTCTCTCTCTCTCTCTCTCTCTCTCTCTCTCTCTCTCTGTATCTCTCTCTGTTTCTCTCTTTCTGTGTCTGTATCTCTCTGTATCTGTCTGTCTCTGTCTTTCTCTCTATATCTGTCTATCTGTATATCTCTCTCTTTCTGTCTATCTGTGTCTGTATCTCTCTCTCTCTCTCTCTCTCTCTCTCTCTGTCTGTATCTCTCTCTCTCTCTCCCTGTTTGTTTGTCTGTCTGTCTGTTTGTCGCTTGTCTCATTATCTCGATCTCGCTTTCTCTCTCGCTGTATATGACTATATGCCTGTCTCTCTCTTTTTCTCTTGATCTCTCTCTCCCCCTTTCTCTCTCTCTCTCTCTCTCTCTCTTTCTCTCTCTCTCTCTCTATCTGTATCTCTCTCTCGCTCTCCCTGTTTGTTTGTCTGTCTGTCTGTTTGTCGCTTGTCTCATTATCTCTATCTAGCTTTCTCTTTCTCTGTATATGACTATATGCCTGTCTCTCTCTTTTTCTCTTGATCTCTCTCTCCCCCTTTCTC